ACGTTAACGGCCCTCATAGTAAATCTAATCTTTTCTACAGGAAAATGATTTACACATGCAATTTTTTTTTATCCATTATGGCTTTTGACACAAAAAATTATCCTCTTAATGCTCATAGGGCGGAAAGTTTAAATAAATAAATAATTCAGGTTAGTGCAACGATGGAATTTTCAGGATTTTTATAACAACGTTCTCATAAATGCAATTAAATAACTAATAGTTTTGTATTTCAGGAACATCATTGAAATGATAAATTTCTAGAAACAGTGTTAAGAACAATATTGTTTCAGAAATTTTATATGTAACTTCTCATATAATTCGTTGGTGACGTGTTCACTCTTCGCGTTTTACAGATAATGTTATCTTTTATGGCATTCATTTCATTTTGTAGAAATCGGAATTGCTAAAAATGCGTGAAGTCAATGGCGCGGACAAAATTTAATCTTGGTGGAGCCGAGAACGTATAAAAAAATTTTTTAATGAGAATTCAATAAAACTCCCACTTTATATGACCACTAATTCATGATAATATAAGACACCACATAATACAGTATAAATAAAAATGAATTTTAATTAAGAAAAAAAATTTTGGAGAATTTACTAGTGTTGTTTTCCTTTTAATTTGGGGATGCCAGTTTCGTTGGCTCCCCGTTGGATTCGCCACTGGTGAAAGTAATCATTTCTTCCCACAGACTTCATTACTAAAGTTAGGAACACAAAATCTTTCATTCGACTATGAATTAAAATTCTAGCATTTGAGATTTTAATGTAAAATCGAACTCAATGACTGTGTGATGATTACACCACGGCGAAAAACTGCTCATCAAAAAGAATAAATACAGTATATCTTTTTCAATAAAAATAATTTAAAACATTACTAATATTATATCTAAAAAAAATGGACATAAAGATTTTTAAGATTAGAGTTCCTTTTCTTGTATCATTTCCACTAATAATAATTCTTCATATCGAAATCTTCATATATATAACTTATACTAGCTGTTACCCACGACTTCGCCCGCGGAGGTTTTGCAAGCAAACCCATTTATATTCAGTATTTCAACAACCATAGTAATTGTTATATAACACCTACTACTGAGAATGATGAGAATTGCTGAGAATCAAACAAACTGTTTTCAATTTGATCAATTTTCTGGAACGTTTACAATCGTTCTATAATCGAACCGATACGTAATAACAAATTCGAATCTAAAAAGGTTCGAACGTTTGGTTAAAAAATCGAAATATATAAAAATATTTATAACAATGTCTGAAATGTTATAATTTAATACACCTAAGTACTTAATGAAGACTAATCGTAACAAAAAATCGCATGTGAAATAGTACAGTAGAAGCCATTCTTCCTGTTAAGCCTTAATGCTCTCCCTCCCCCCCCGCGGGGGAATTTCGAAAAATCCCTTCTTAGTGTGCGTTTTCATGACGTACCCTAACTGTGTACCAAATTTTACCACTTTAGGTTCAGCGATTTGCTGTAGGCCAAGGGTGGCCAACATGAGGCCCGCGGGCCGCATGCGGCCCGCCTGGAGTCGTGTTGCGACCCGCGGAGCTTGGTCAAATGAACGTAAATGTTAACTTTATTGTACATATCATTAAATGAACATTAGAAGAGTTAAGGTTTGGAAGAATTCTATGAAATGTATTTGGACAAGGATAAATATCCTGCGTTTTACAAACATGCTCTGTCGATGGTTTCGCTATTTAGAAACACTTATGCGTGTGAACAACTTTTTAGTCGCATGAAGTACATCAAATCACAAGTGAGAACACGAATTACTGATGTTCATTTGGAAAATTGTTTGCGTGTAGCGACAACATTAGTCGAGATCAATTTTGATGCACTTAGTTCTGTAAAACAAAGTCAGATGTCTCATTTTTAAATATTTTTTAATTGTCTAATAAATATGTTTCTCGGTTATTGAATAAGTGATTCTCAATTATGTTTAATTTTCTTCAAATGTTTATTTTAATGTTTATTTACATTAAACCAGGCAAGTGTTTGACCACGACCTCACCTACTGGAAAGCAACGATGTGGTTGAAGCTGTAGCACGCTTGCTTGTTTACTTAAATTAACAAAAAAAATTAGGTGCGTGGCCCGGCAGGAAATATTATTTCTGAAATTTGGCCCGCCTGCTAAAAAGGTTGGCCACCCCTGGCGATGATGAATCAGTGAGTGAATGAGTCAGTCAGGACAAGCAATTTTATATATATAGATGAAGATTTCGCTGAAACTGTCTAATTTTAATTCGTAACTTTCCGTTATGTTTAAGCTAAATTTTCAGCTCCTTATATCTATAAATGTAAGCATGTAATTGTTAATATTTTATTAAATTAGTAAGAACGTTAAAATTGATTTAATATTACTAGAAATTATATTAGTTGTTAAATTGTAACTTAAACTTTGTGAGTTTACGATTTTTGTTAGAGAGAGAACCATTTTTTTATTTATTATTATTATTATGGCCTACATGGATGTCATATGCATAGTGAAATGCAAAGTATTGATGAGAAATAATATTTTTTTTTCGATTTTCCTTTAGAATTTTTTCAGAACTAGTTGTCTTAAACTAATCAAATAATTCTTATCGCATTAGTGTACGGAAGATTTTAAATATAATTATTAATTAACAAACCGTGCACAGATAATTATTTAATATTTTTTATGCTGTAGAGAAATGAATTTGAATAATTCATAGAACTAAATTTAAAAATGGGTTTTCTGGTTACTATATAGACATTATTTCAGAAAAAGTGTGTTTTAATTTTTAGTTATATATATATACATATACTGGATATACTTTCGGGCGGTATTTATTTGCTTCAAGAAACAAAATGTTGAACAGGACGGGAGTTAACATGCAAAACAACCCTTCAAGGACGACAAGTTAATGGAGAAAGAAACGAAGCAGGTCGATGTAATCGGTCTGTTTAGTTTTGACATTGGTGTCTTTTACATCTGTTAAATTTGGCACATTTTTTTACATCAAATTTAAAAAAAATTACTGGATTTTGCTTATTTCTGTGATAATTAAGAAGGATTACTGATAGGTAAATAATAATTAAACAGTTGGTTATATTTAATACATATTTTAAAATGTAAATTAGTCATAATTATAATTTAACTTCGAAATACACTAATATAATGATCTATTAAGCACGGTTTAAGGTTTTTGAATTAATAGAAAATTATTTTAAATTGCTGTTCATGATTTAGAGCAATAACTCACTTTGCATGTTGCATGAGTATCTTTTCGAATGCCAAATAATAATAGAATTTATTAATCTTAAATACGATTAAATTTGAATTTTGATAGTAGTTAATATCTAAGACAATAAACCGAAGTTAATAACAGTTCGATTAAATCTCTAATATTTATTTTTATTTATTTAACTATAACCCCAAACTATAATTAGCATATTGTTCTTCGGGCATTTAAAGTATAATGCTAAAGAAACTTTGCAAAAACACTTTATCAGCCAGAATTTATGATGATACAAAACTGTTTATCGGTATGTTTTTGATGTCTTTTGATAAGAACAGTCTTTGAGAAGAACAAAAAATTTGAAATTGTTAGTTTCGTCAAATTTTATAATTTTAACGTGACTTATAATTATTTTAAATACAAATTCTACCAGTAGAAATTATTAAAATACGAATAATTGTAGAAAATGTTTCTCGGGAAATAAATCTTTCAAGGTTTTAAGACTTACACAGCAAGGATTTTTTAAAGCATTAATAAAAGATGGTTCAGCTTTGGTAAATACATTTTGTGTAACATCGAAGAAATGGTTTTTATATTCAAACATTTGCATATTGCATTATTCCATTTTGTTTAAAAACATTTATATTATGATCAAAATTTTCTAATATAAAATTGAATGAGGTACAGATAACCTGTTGTTAATGAATTTTTATTTTTCAATAATTCTTATTTTGAATATTCTTGTTTTTACTTATCAACAAAACAATAATATGAGTTTGATATATATATTATCAGAGCATCATTTGTTGTTCGCTTTAGAATGACAGTTAAACAGTTATTAACAGAATAACAGTTTAGTCAGTTATTTTATTTTATTTTTTCTTACGTTAGTTAAGCAATCTTTATGTGAAGCTGGTTTGTCGATGACTAAAAGTTGCCGATGTTAGATTTAGAATATGCTAAATTCAATTATTTCCAAAAAATAAATTACATGTTTTACAATATAATATTAATTAATATACAAAATATCCTAAAAGTACTTGTTTTAGGATCCAAAAATTTCTAAAGCATTCTAATTGTAAGCAGAGGTTTTTAACTTGCAAATAGTGTTTCTTAGGAAAGTAAATTTTATTCGTATCATTAAATTCATCACTTAAATTTCTGAGAGAACTTTCTTCCATTTTATTTACAGGACTTATCTTATTTTCTATTATCAAAAAAGTTAGCTGCTAGACGTACAATTTTACAATCGTATACATTCCAATATTTTCTGTAATTCTGTTAAATCTATCTTTAAAATTCCATCATTCAATGTCAAAATGTTTGTAGTTCGGAAAACCGTACCTGTCAATTAAATTCAAGTAATTTGTCAATAATTTCCTATAAACATTAGACATTTACATTTCTCTTCTGAGTCAAGGATCTAGTTAAGAATAAGTCCCCATAAAAAATATTTTTAATTTGTGCATGATGAAACTTGTTCGCGCATTTAAAAGTTTAGATAGATTAAACTAAAATACATTTTTCAAAAAGAATCTTCGAAGTTAAAAAAGTATCAAAAAGGTGCTTATTTAGGAGGAAAATACATTTACTATAAAGCATTCCAATTACGTTCAATTATAAGCTGTTTGTTCGAGTCAATTTTTCCCATGATGGACAAAATTGAGGTTCACGAAGGCATTAATAATGCTATGTTTATACAGTATATATTCTTTAAACATTAAGTGTAAAATGATAATTTTATTGAGAGAAAGTTTAAAAAATGATTTATTTTCAGAACAAAGCATCAAGTTTTGGATGAAATAGCTAATAAAGATTCAGGCAAATATATTAACTATATGAAAAACAAACGAGCATTAAATACAACCATAACCTGTAGTAATATTGATTCATGGACTATTGCTGACAATGATTCTTTGGAAAGTGAAGATGGGGCTCTTCAACCAAATCATTCCCAGTCTCTCTGCGAAAGTAATGTAGAATCTCCATTAAAGAATGATATGGGAAGCAGACTAAGTTGTGCAAGTCTCCATTCCTATCGTACATATAATGATAGCTGTAGCAATTCTGATTCTGACTCTACTTCTAATCCTTTACAACCCATATTTACAAATTCAACGAATGAAACATGTACAAATTTAGAATATAAATTACCAATTGTTGGATATGAAGTGATGGAGGAACGGACTAGATTTACAGTAAGTGAATTATTTAAATAGTATTTTAATGTTATACGAAATTTTATTAAATATAAGTTTTCTAATTTATCATTCATTTAAGTTGCTAATATTTGATTAATATGTGTGTACGGATGTAATAATGCATTTAACATATACCATAATCGGAAAGTAAGTTTGCATAAATGATTTTTCAGAAGTTCTCATGTTTATCAGTATTATATCACTGGTTCCATTTACTAAATGACTTGCAACGGAGTTATCAATTATGAGTAAAGATTTTTAACTATTTATGAAAAATCATAAGGGTGAAAAATGTAAGAGACTCGTGAAAATTATTACGGATCAAATTTGAATCTAGAGTGGACAATCTGGTCATTGTCATCTGGTGATTTCAGAATTATCAGATTTCCACGCAGTAAGGATTTTCTATCACTACCAGCAGTCTAGATTTGAACTTGATCTGTACATTCGTGAATTTCAAGATTAATTTGAATTGAAATAGAATTGAACGTTTTTTTTTATGTGCTTCATTTTATTCTTCGGCGATTTTGTCTTTTTTCGACCTGTTCGCAATGGCATTAGCCAATAAATTTTTTTTTGTGAGGCATTGACACAAGCAAACCCCCACGTATATATTAAAATTTAAATGGATTGCTTGTCTTTCGTATTTTTGAATGAAAGAACTTCTTCTCGTATATTTATTGATTGTATAAGATGCAATTGTGTTTCAATTAAAATACAATTTTTCTTATTTATAATAGAAAATTGAATTACTTTTTGCAAAAAATATTTCAGTTATAATTTATCAATTGATTTAAATTTTGAACATTAATCATTTTTAAATTTGAGTTGGATCAGATTCGATTCAGGCCTTCTACCATGGTTAAAACAAAAATAAGTCGACCCCCCTATAACACTATTGATTATTCCGTTTTATATGAATTCCATGATGTACGAGTCACTTAGATTTTACAAATACGTGTGCCGGGCTGTGAACGGCTCACGTATTTGTAAAATCTAAGTGACTCGTACAACATGGAATTCATATAAAACGGAATAATCAATAGTGTTATAGGGGGGTCGACTGTATCATAAGAGATTGTAGCCGAATTATTTAATACGCGAGGTATAACGAACAAAAAATATCCGGATTTTTTACTAACATTTTGTTTTTTTAATATTTAAAACATGTTTTCGATTTATTTTTATTTTATTATTTTTTTACGTTAAATAGTTTTACTATTACAAAATGAAATGGCCACATAAAAACTGTTTACAATAAATTCAAAAAGTTAAGATTTCTTAAGAATGTAATATTAACTTTTAAAATATTTTGAAGTGTCTTTTGAAATGTTTTCCAGATTAAATTTATATATTCAAAATTAATTGGAAAATAAAATAGAGGACAATATGAATAATGAAGGTTCGGTACACTTTTTTAAAATTATTATCAGCAAAAATTTTGCAACGAATAATGAAAAAAAAATCGTAGTAGAATGTAAAAACCTCATCTAATCGGCAATCTTCCATTTAAATATTTAATATTTTCATATTTTATTGACTATAATTTAGCATTATTAACGTCGTTAATTATCATTTCAGAATTATTTCGGACTGTATAAATGATTATTAATAAAAATAATTTGAATAGCAATGTATGTCTTTAGTCATATAAAATTTTTATACTTTTAATTTTATAAAATTAAATACATTTTGTATAAAGATAAATGATACTGATCTGTTTTTTTTCATACTTTTTATCCACTTTAAAATATTTTGTTAGTAATTAAATTAATTATATTCAATACTTTAGCTACATATTAAAATTAGCTAGCTGCAATTTCAAATGTTGTACTGTATTCTAATCACCTGACTAATCATTACTAATATCAAATGACCGCGGTTCTTACGAGATTCAATTCCTATATATCATATTTATTTTTTACCTTATTATGTTTATATAGACACGCAATCCATCTTCAAATTTCGAAGAGGATCAGAATTTTCTATTTTCGTTAAAAATGTACTAAAATATCACCAGTAAAATAATAAATAATATATTTGAACCCGTATTTAGATTTTAGTCATTGGACCTTAGATAATGATTACTATACAATACAATAGATATAAAATCACAATTTTTTTATAGTCTTCGATAATGAGCTTCATAATCAATACATAAGTATTTAAACAGCCATTTTATATCTTTTTCAAATTATTTTGAAATCCTAAACAAGAATTAACCGTTTCTTGTTCTGAAATGTTTAAAAATCTGTAAATCAATGAGACGGCCCCGTCCCTCAGTACCAGGCCATCTCATTGTGGGCTTGGCCGAACACGCGATGGGATTGATAAAAAGATCCTCTTAGTGCCCACAAGGCGGAAAAAGTAACAACTCATCATTTTTTTTTAATTGTCCGTATTTTCTCAAATTAATATTAACCGTTGATAAGTATCGTGCCCATTAGTGGCAGAGTGGATAAACCACTGAACACTGATCATGGATTCGTGTCTCGCCGATGGACTGGCTACATGGAGTTTTCCTGGTTTTCTTTACGTTAGTAACACCTAAATAGGGACCAGTTTCCCCATAAAAGACTTCTCGGGAGGCATTTCCCCCTTCGGCAGATCACCCATGTGTCGCGTTGCAGTAAAGACAAGTAGTCATTTTCTTACAAATGTCTAGCCATTTTAGAAGTACTCGTTAAAACTCGTAGACAACTCGTGACGATAAAATTATATAGTCGGAGAAGTCGGAAAAATGCTATCTTAGGTTATTTCTTAGGTATATCTTAGATCAGTGTTTTTCAACCTTCTTGAATACGCGACCCCTTTACAAGTTAAAAAATTCTGGCGACCCCCCCAGGGCCATATTAAAACTATATCAGTGATATTAAAACCTTTGTATTTAATATTTTTTCTGACTTAACACAAGAACTCAAGACAAATTAAGTATGCAGCTTCCCTTTTTGGGGGAAGCTACATACTTAATTTGTCTTGAGTTCTTGAGCCGTTGATTTTTTTTTAGATTCAGTATCNTTTAGTACTAATGAATTGTAAGTCACAAATTGTACTTGGTGATAAGAAATGAATGAGCTAAAATTCTATTTTATGCTTTTTTCGTAATGTAAATGGGTAATAATTTACAATTTATAAAACTTAAATCATAATTTATTATTCAAAATACGAAAAAGTTTTTATTTAGATAGAAAATATAAAGGAAACGAGAATTTGACAAAGTGAATACTGTATTTAAGTTTATTTATATATAAGTAGACAATATGTAATTTCTAAATTTAACTTTTTTTTCTAAAGAAAAATGTTTAATTATTATTATTCTTAATGTAAATATAGAAACAATTAAAACAAATTATATAATAACTGAATTAAAATCCTAACTATCTCTGCTTGATAACACCATGCAGATCATTTAATAATATCTGTCTACGAAATTGCCTCATAGGTTGATAAACTCATTTAGCAACGCTATCATTCGAATCAATAATCTTGACAAAAGAAAACGATACTACAGCAAAATACTTCGTTTGCCGAGTTAACAAATTATTGAGAATATTGTGAAAGTGTAAAAATTTTCAATTTGATTATATAATGAGAACATTTCTAGATATTTATGAGCAGTGTTTAATAAAATAATCAGCGATGCTTAGTTAAGTTAAAGCTTACAGTAATGCAAGTGTATTTCTAATACGATATATTTCGCCATCGTTCTCAGAAAACTTACCAAATATCATTCATTCTTATTTGAAGGGTGAAGCAATGACCATAATAATCTGTATTGTAGATGGAGAAATTTTGAAAAATTCCAATATGACCATCTGTTTACAATGTATCCTAATTTTAATTATTTGAAATTATGAAAATGAAATTTGTTTAATGAAAAAGAACTACTATTAAATCAATTTGACTTAAATATTTTTCAAATTTAACGAGCACAATTAAAATAAGTCTTTATTACATTACAACTAACTTGTTCAAGTTTCAAAGGGAATCCTAATTGCTTGAAATTATTTAAGTTTCTAATTTTGGAAATCTTAAATTACTTGCATTAAATTGACGTCATGCATTACATAATCTATCTAAATTTAGGCGTCATTAGATAATTAATTAAAGTACGTTATTATGTTTTAAGTTTACAATTATTCATTTAAAAGTAATAGTAACTTTACAAAAGCAAATATATATGTATATTGCATTTGATTTTTTCCCTTCCCATAAAAATTCCGATTGAACCTTTATTAATTAACCTTTCTTTGTTCATTGAAATTGCAAACATTTTTATCATGGACTTTTAATTTATTATTTATATATGAAATTAGTAAGCTATAAAGGAAGTAAAATCAATATGTAAATAATTTTGTATAAAATCACATGCAGGTGACAGGAATCTAATTTTGCATGATTTTTGTTTTAACTTACGATTAATTCGCTGTTATAGATTCAGCAATAAATTGCTGCTTCTTAAATTTATATTCCACCAAACACTAAATATTTCGATTGTTGATGTACAGTTTTATATAATAATTCATTTTGACACAAAATGTAAATTTCATTCAAATTTTAGTTACTGTAATTTTTGTTACAGTATTTGTATTATAAATTTCTGCTAAAAATAGCGAAATTAAAAACAAAATTTTGATTTTTTTTATAATTTATTGTCATTTCAAGTAAAAGGCCATTTCATTTTTCATATATTTAATGAATTTTAAATGAAATCTCTTTCAAATCATTTATTTTTCCCAAATCCATGAGATGAGTGAAAAATTTAACTTACACAATCTAACATTTTAAATAGAAGAATAAACTATGCAATTTTTTAAATTTTTCTAAATATATCTGTCTTTATAAAGCAAACAATAAAATTCATAACCATAAATATTGACAATTTGTAGTATATTTTCAAGTAATAAAAGGAAAATTTAATGGGGTAATATTGTAATAATAATTGTAAAAAAGAAAAGAAGGAAGAAAATGGAAACGTATCAATTATGAAGTTATAT